TTTTCTACCGAGCTTACGGATGAGCCTGCGTGCATGTGGCTGGTGGTACAGGCGCAGGCGGTCCGAGAATGAGAAGACGGCCATTAGAATGAACCGTGACGCGTTCAATGTTAAGGATTTAGTTTGGAGAACTGCTTCCATTGCCTTGGTCCACCTGTGAACGGAGGTTGTGGCTAAATTAATATAATGTGAGATGATACTGCCTAATTATTATGCTAGGAAGCGATTTATGCTTGTTGACATTAATATAATGAGGTTATTGCCAGCTGTGTGCATAGATCGTTGCTCGATGCCTGAGGAATTTTTGCGTCATTTTTGAATTTGTACAAGCATGTATTATCTGATATCTATGTTGTTCGCATGAAGATTAATGCAGGTTTCTTCCTGTCATGTCATGGCAAAATCTCTTATCGTAAATTAGTAAATATTTCGAATGACTCGAACACTGCATTTTCTTGGTTCGCAGTCTTCAATTTTGTTTGGCCTGATCGTTTATCTTAGTTTTTTGTTGTTCTTTGAGCTGCCGGGAACCTCTACATATAGGGCAGTTGATTGATCGTAACGTCCTTGCCCCTCATACAAACGTCCCTGCACTAGCCTCATAACAAACGTCCTTGCACTAGCCTCATAACAAACGTCCCTGCACTAGCCTCATAACTAACGTCCCTGCACTAGCCTCATAACTAACGTCCTTGCACTAGCCTCATAACAAACGTCCCTGCACTAGCCTCATAACTAACGTCCCTGCATCCCTGCACTAGCCTCATAATAAACGTCCTTGCACTAGCCTCATAACAAACGTCCTTGCACTAGCCTCATAACTAACGTCCCTGCACTAGCCTTCTTAACTAACGGCTCTTCACTAGTCTGAGGTATAATATCAAAATTCGACCAATTGTAATTCGTCCTCTGAAGCGGTGATATTGGATGCCCTTCGATCTCTACGTGTTTCCGTTCCTGTTCGTTTCTCGCAATTAAGCTAAGTCTGCCTCAAGATACAAAATAATTGGCATGCATGAAATTTTTTTTTATTATTTAAGAATTGAGTTTCTCGGTAATATTTGAAAGTTTTGTAAGTATATAACGTGTAATATGATGCGGGAACGCGACCATGGGGCGACCCACAACAGTTGATCCGACCAAAGTTTTTCTTGTTCCGACCAAAGTTTTTCTTGATGGTTACAGGCTGCAGCGAATCGTTGCAAACCAGAATGTTGCTTGGTGATAGTCTTTTTCAATTCTGTTTTTTAATTGTATACGGTAAACTTTTCAATGAAGCTCCTAAATTTTAACAAAATTATTCAAAAAAAAAAAAATATTAATAGCGTACTTTTGAAACTTGCATAATAATTCTCAATTCTGTTTCTTTCTCAATGCTTCTATTTTCGTTAACTTATCTAAGCTAGCAAACTTTTATCCACTAAAATGAATGTACTTAGTCATAAAATCCTTTTTTACATTTGCCATTTAATTTCTAGTTGTCGAATTTTTTGCTTTTTATTTTTAACAATAATAATGTTTTTTCGGTGACCATTTACAGACCGTAAGGATTGTAATGATCAGAATCCACGAACTTGGTTGTTTTTTCAAGCTATTGTATCTATGTCAATGATCTAGTTTTAAAGAACTTAATGTGATTTTGTAAGTAAATGAAGGATAGTTGACTTGTATCAATTCGTCTCCTTATTGCCACGGCAATCTCGCATCGAGACGTTATATAGTGCGGTCTTACGTCAGTTCTTCAGTCAAATGTACGTAACAAAATCATTTTTGTCAACTCATCACTCATTCTTTGATTTGTGTACAGTTCTCCTTCGATTTAATCATAATTTTTTATACCGTTTCTGCACATAAATGACTTAATTTTACCACCTTCTTCAGAGTTTAGATTTATGCTGTAATTTATTATTCTTCCTTACGATGAGCTTCGTCGTGGTTATTGGACGGCGACCACATGACGTGGCGTATACGCTAATTCTAAACGGTCAGTCAATGTTTTATGTTTCACCGCTACGAGTATTACAAGGATTTTTTAATTATATTTCATGTCAAACCTTTGTATGTATTTTATGCAATAACAAATGTTCAATGCCAGTAAACGTGTTGCAATAAATTTCCTGTTAGATGTCAGCCACGTTACATGAAGGTAACGTCGGTAAAGTTATTAGTTTAGTAGCATTAATCGTCATTCCTCAGGGCAGCGTAACCTGCTGAGGTTACCTGAAGGGGCTGACGACCCCTGGGCACCCGAGTCAGTATCTACTGAGGTTACCTGAAGGGGCTGACGACCCCTGGGCACCCGAGTCATTATCTACTGAGGTTACCTAAAGGGGCTGACGACCTCTGGGCACTGCTGACGACCCCTGGGCACCCGAGTCATAATCTCATCTACTGAGGTTACCTAAAGGGGCTGACGACCCCTGGGCACCCGAGTCATTATCTACTGATGTTACCTGAAGGGGCTGACGACCCCTGGGCACCCGAGTCATTATCTCATCTACTGAGGTTACCTAAAGGGGCTGACGACCCCTGGGCACCCGAGTCATTATCTACCGAGGTTCCCTGAAGGGGCTGACCTTCCCTGTACACCCGAGTCATTGCAGGCTCGGAAGTTGATGCTACGAAGTATCATCTGTTATGCTGAAGAATTTGCAATGAAAACGGCACGTAAAAAGATGCATGTATATATCTATCGTATCGAATGGTGTCGAGAATTGTGTTCTTGTAGGAACCTGATACCCGGAGCCTGATATCACAGGTCGCTGTTCGTTTCCTCAAATTATCCAGGTTACAATGTGACAAGATTCAAAATTCGTTAGTTTCGCGATAATTTAGATCTGTCCCAACATGTTTGGTTAAAAATAATGCCAGTTTTATTGAGGACTTCTTTTGAGTTTAATCTCTCAAGCTTTCTGATAAGAGATACAGTAAAAGGGTCAATGTGTCTTAAAATTTGTCCAAATGGGAGGTTAGATAAATCCTGCGACGCGTTTCGCTCATCACTGAGCATCTTCAGGCAACGAGGTCGAGCAGCTGAGTAGACGAGTTGCTTGCGGGTTGGCTGCCGAGAGGAGACTAATTCATTTCCCTTTCATGTAAATGAATGGCTCTACCCTAAATATACAAATTTCAGATTACATCTGTCCCAACGTATAAGTACTTATCTCCTTTTACGGTAACTCTGATGAAATTTTGTTTTATGTAATCTTTTTTTACTTACTTAGTGTGGGTCATCATATTATTTGCAGTGCGCGTTGTGTCGGCCATATATACTTAAACTTTCCCAGGAGGTCGTCGCCCCTATGAAACCACATCCCTGCGTCTTAATTCGATTCATCTCTAAACTTGAGTAGGTAATTTTGCACCTCCCTCCGTACTTGTTCCTTAGTAAACTCGTACACTAGTCAACTTGTGCGTTACCTAGCCAAACAGGTTATTATCGATCGACGAAGATTGATGGGATTCGATCGAGAATATTAATGCAGATTCTTGCTCGATCGACTAGGACGAAACCTCATTCAGAGTGGGCAACGTGGAGGGAAATGTCGCGAGGCGCAACACCGATTATAGAGGAGTTTCTTATGCCGATTCAGCGAAGATCTTTGAAGTTTCTGCACCCGATAATTTGTTGAATCGAATAATCTTCATCGAACGATGTCGAATCTACAGCAGCTGAAGCCGAATCTGCATTAATCTATATCGAATAGCCATTGATCTACCTCGAATCTACATTAATTGTTGCCGAATTTCTATTGATCGATGTCGAATCTATATTCTATGCTGAATCGATATTATATGATGCTGAATATTAGTATTTTTTACACCCTTCTCTATAGAATAAAATGAATTCTACTCCTGCAACTGAACGACAATTCAAAGAAAATCAGACAATATAAAATCATTTACTTTCTTTGCTTTCACATTACATACGCCGCAGAAAATCAAATCCGCTCGTGCAAAATATTTCAGCGTGTGCCAGAAACATACCGTACGCGTTGTCGTGACTTCAAATTATTATAACCCGTATTAGTCTTCTGAATACAATTCAACAGGTTAATCATGGTTGTTAGTCAAAGCAGCTATTCGTGAAAAAGTTAAAATATAGAGAAGCAAACTGTGACATGAGATGAAGTGGACAGAAAAAAAAGAATAAAATTAAATTATAAAATTCCAATAAAAAAGATAGTTTGAAACTTATTTTTGCAATCGTTCAAATTTATCACCATTAATAACTCAAGACAGTGGAAACTTGTGGTGCTGTTTAAAATACACAAATTCGATTTAGGATTCACTGTATGGCATGAAGGATCAAGTTTCTAACTTCGTTACAATGAAAGTAATAACTAACTTTATTAACTCATTAGGGGAACGTCCAGCAAACTTGATAAGAAATAAAAAAGTTACTCATGCGTCTTAAATTCAATCAGTATATTAAAGGTAATGTCTGTAAATTGCAAAAATACATGAGAAATTTAACCACCAGAAAAAAGTGATAAATATTAAATTCTTGCAGCTCAACTCATTAACGTTAAATTTTGCGTTAGTTAACGTGTGCGTTGTCAACTTGTACTCAAGTCAGCTTGTGCGGTAGTAAATATATGGGTTCATTATAATACTTTTCTAATCAAGTATCCCGTGAATTTGCTGTACGTACATTTAATTAATTGTAAGTTTTTCAACTGCTATCAGCAGTGCGCTGATATATACTTTTGATCCCAACCAACATCAACTCTTGATCAGATAAATTAACATCGTTAAGACTGCGCCATATACTTATGATCCCATCATCAACACTTTATCAGATAAATTAACATCGTTAAGACTGCGCCATATACTTATGATCCCAACATCAACTCTTGATCAGATAAATTAACATCGTTAAGACTGCGCCATATACTTATGATCCCAACATTAACTTTTGACCAGATAAAATAACATCGGTGAAAGACTGCGCCATATTTGCAGCTGTGATCAAATTTTCGTGCAAAACGAACATCCATTGTGTGCGACTGAAGGAAAAGTTCTCAGAATGCATCGAACTTTTCATGTGTTGCTTGCTGTATTGGCCAGTCTGGCCGCAATATCTGCGGATACTCACACGGTTTTTGAAGGTGAGTCATATCTAGTCTTGAGTTCGCTGATGTTACTAGCTGTGTAAACTTAAGTGCTTTATTTTGCCTCCTTTAATTGCTAATCTTGATCAATATTGTATGAATTATCAAGAAATTCCGTGTAGATTTTAGTGGATGACCTATATTGTAAAATTAGTAATTCTTTTGTAAAAATACAATTTTGATTTGTTCGTTGTGTGATAATGAAATATTTTCCATTACGACCTTTCAAAAACTCAAAATTGTAACTTTTTTTAACTTGTGCTGAGACAGCGTCCTCTCCTCTCCAAGTGGACTTCGACGCAGCGTACTTATGGACCAGGTGAGTGGATCCTATGAACGTTTTGTATCATTTTAAGAGCTATGTTACGCCCTGACATTACAGCACTGTTTACATCGTCCTTGATTCTTTCTCATTCTTGAGAGTTTTTGCACGTTGCTGAGGGTATTCCCATCCATCATAAGGGACAACGGAAATAAGTGTTCTGAAATTAGTCTTAACAAGGATCAGGTGGCAGCGCGATGCAGTAAATTGCTAAATTTTCCTGGTAAGGCGCCCGTAGACAGCGGTTAAAAATTGACACTGCTTTGTCGTTAATTTAACTTATTTACAAAAGCATGTTGCGGTCATACTGACCGCATTCGTACACTTTCAACATCAGCCACAACATATGTTTAATGTTTGATGACATTAGATTGGGGAATTGTACGAGAACGTCAACCAGTGACAGAAATGTGATCATCGTTACGATGACAATATATCGTCATTTTCAACTGCGAAAATGAAAATATTACGAAGAAAATATACCGTCATTTCAAACTGCCAAAATGAAAATATCGTTAGCTAAGACTGAATTATACGATGTCAAAATTCCTGAGGTTAGGGAGAGGATGGACGCTTGAAATAGGTTTATTGTTGGCAGGTACAGATCGGGTGGTGATCTGATGATAGCAACGAATTTAAGTGACAAAGTTAGCACCGAATACCGACTATTTCTTTACTTTATGGGTTTTAGTAATCTGGACTGTAACAGGTCAAAAATTACAATGCATAAACACATTAAAATATAATAACATTGGTTGTTGCTGCTGGTAAGAGAAAATAAGAATGGCATGGAGTACGAGAAAATCAACAGTTAGGAAATGAAACGTCTGTAGTTCGCTGCAGCGGTTACAACATTTATTTCACATGCAGAGGATATATGGAGGGAAAGCAGCACGAGAGAATCAAGTATAGCACGTCTGTTTGTAACAGTAGGAAATGAAACAACTGTGGTTTGCAGCGGTTACATTTATTTCACATGCAGAGGATATATGGAGGGAAAGCAGCACGAGAGAATCAAGTATAACACGTCTGTTTATAACAGTAGAAAATGAAACAACTGTGGTTTGCAGCAGCGGTTACAAGATTTATTTCACATGCAGAGGATATATGGAGGGAAAGCAGTACGAGAGAATCAAGTATAACACGTCTGTTCATAATTAACAGTAGGAAATAAAACAACTGGGGTTTGCAGCAGCGGTTATTAACATTTAACATAACATTTATTTCACATGCAGAGGATATATGGAGGGAACGCAGTACGAGAGAATCAAGTATAACACGTCTGTTCATAACAGTAGGAAATAAAACAACTGGGGTTTGCAGCAGCGGTTACAACATTTATTTCACATGCAGAGGATATATGGAGGGGACGCAGTACGAGCTCATCGGGGCGAACAACGCGTCAGTGTCGCAGAGCCACTTCCTGGCGTCGGCCGACACGTACCTCATCGTGCACGGCTTCTTATCCCACGCCATCGTGCCCTGGGTGTTGACCCTTAAAGATAGTTAGTGTGATCGTATCTCGTATTCGGAAAATGAAACATGGATTGCTGAGGTTAAATTTATATGGTATTTGCGATTATATCTCCTAATAATATCTCTTAGCACCTATGCGACTCGTTGTAACGCATTTTTAATGTTTCCCCTCATCGTTATTAACGCTTAACCCTATAAAATTTCCCTTCCCCCCCCCCCTCACTGAAGCTTGACATGTGCTCATTTCAGAAATACTGGCGCGCGGAAACAGCAACGTCATCGCCGTGCAGTGGGCGTCTGGGGACAACTTCACCGAGCTTGCCTACAATGAGACGTCCGGTGAGTTACAAAGCGGGCCCAAGTTGCCCTCAATATTAACTACTGGCTTTGCTTTGTTGACGTCCCGTAAGTTAGGCCTATGACTCAAAATGACCGCAATATTAACTATTGACCTAACGTAACAAACATGTTTAATTACAGATACGGTTCCCGGCATTGGCGCGGCGGTGTCGCGGCTGCTGACGACGTTGCAGGCCGTGCGCGGTCTCGACTACACGCGCCTACACGCCATCGGCCTCAACTTGGGCGCTCACATCGCCGGCTTCGCAGCCAAGAACAGCCCCTACCCTTTCGGGCGCATCACAGGTCATTGCCTTACCATCTTATTTGTCTTCGTATTGCTTCGTTTGTATACATTGTCGTTTCCTGCGTCCATTTTCTCGCTGCTTTTACCCCTGGTTGTCACGCCTTGAACTTCGCGTCATGTGGGAACGCAGCCATCCACATCGGCTCAGACCACAGCTGTAAGGGGGATACCGGACGCTGTGTAGGGGCACTTGGCTGTATGGGCACAGGTCGCTATGTGTGTTCGTAAAGGCCCGTTCACACTAGGGGCAATACACGGGCGTCAGGCGCCTCACCGCCCCTCTTTGAGGTGTCTACATGCTCTTCTTGTGGGCAACGAGGCGATTGACGAGCCAGCGATTCAGTTGCCCCGCCTCATGCAGCACAAGCGCTGCACGCAGTGGTACTCGGTCAGTAGACGGCTGTCTGTGGTCTAATGAGGTTGTATGTATACGCTGGTCCTTCACTATGTCAACCAAAGCCACACTTGTTTGGACTCACTCTCTAGGAGAGAGGCTAATTGTTCATTGTATAAACCATGAATGCCTGTAGAGTTCAGTCAAAAGGAGTAAAAAAGTTGAAATGCAAAAGTACAAGCTCTGGTGAAAATAGTCGAAGTCCTAAATAACTTATGTGTACAAGTCACTATTGACGAGGTTCGCAAGAAAATTCATACGTTGCGTTCGCAATTCCAGCGTGAAATGAATTTCATTGCATATGAATTCCATCTCAATCCCATCATTCTGCTTCTGGATGAGTGGCCTTATTTTCTTTGGCAGACTGTCAAACAAGTCCGCTGACAGTCCAGTATAATTTTGAAAGTCTGATGCATTCGCAACTGATAATTCTTCGAAAATGTAATTGTGTGAGCCCCTCTCTACTTTTCACCCAAATACGGCGACGCCTACATCTTTTCTAAACAGCAGCACACCCGAGAACAATGGCCCAGACCTCAAATTCGGATACATCTATCCTCACGGACGTCTAACTGGCAACTAATCTTCGAAGCGCGCGGTCCCGAGCCGAACTCCCGCGTACAAAAATAAGTGTGAACGGTTGTGGGCGGTGAGGCTCCGCAGCAAGCGCCTCACCGCCCATATCGTTGCCCCTAGTGTAAACGGGCCTTAAGAGTTGCAGTGTGTAGGCACTTGACAGTAAAGGCACAGGTTGCAATGTGAAGAGTTTTCGGAAGATGACGATCGCAACAGAGAGCCAAATGAGATTGACCCAATCTGCACGTGTTGTTTATTTGTGCTACGTAGTTCTAGAGGTCAAGTAATTTGTGAACGGCCGAGTATTTACACCGTATCTGGTATGATACTTGTGGGTGTCTCTCATGAATTGTATGGGGTGCGTGAATGGTAGAATTGGTCAATGTGATATAGATGTGTGGAGTATTGACTATTCGCCCATGTGTTAGCCGGTGGAGGTGATGGAATTAGCCGAACCATTTAAGAGGCTGAGTTGCGTTCATACAAGTAGTTTGGTCCCCTGGCATTCGTTGAGGTGGATGACTCAAGTTATTTGGATACAGGCATTACCGGCTTGGATTTGTGCTCTCTTGCGTTGCTCTCATTGCAGGATTTGCTTTGTCAATACGCAGTTTAGGAGATTGAGTAGGATATTATATGGATCCAGGGTTATAAATACTGGCATAGCATAGGTATATGCATAATTTGCGTATAAGTGTGAGAATTGCCTTGTTTTGTTTTAATTTTGTTACCGTATAAGCTTTTGGAGAGTTGTTTAGTCTAAGAGTGCGATGTCGCGTTCTGCAATGCGTTGGCGTGTTTGAAAAAACTCCTAAAATGTTATGTGGGTTCCTGTGACGTTCAAGTGACCTTATGACCTTATGATGAATTCAGGACTTTACAATCCATGGTCACGCTGAAGCTCCACCTTCGTCGTCCTCCGTCTCCAAGCCATCGATAGGTAGGTCACCCCGCCCTCGGGTCCCAGATGTATCGTTGAACGTGTTCTATCTATTTGCCCTCCTTTGAGCCTGCTGATGCAAGATGCTGTTGGTTGTCACTTGCTGAGTTAGTTTCCCATAACTGGACAATCCAGGATCTTCTAAAACTTATCCAGTTGCCTCTTGAAAGTCACAAGGGTAAACTCTCTTTCTCTCAGCACCTTTGTTAAGGCGTTAAACAACGCGAACAGCCTTGGTCCTAACACGGTCAGTGATCCCTCACGAAGAGTCTGTACTCTGACCGCGGCCCGGTTATTGAGTGAAAGAGTCCTGCATGTGAAAACACCTTTCTCTACCAAGCTTGTATTCTAAATTTATTACATAAAATTTTGATAGAGCTCAGCACTTGCAGTGATGTTTTTTTCCATTCACGGTAAATCGTTGTTGACCATTTCTCTTATTGTATCGTGGTCATTATTTTATTCTGGAAAATAATGTTGCCATGGCTTTTACTCCCTGTCTGAATTAAATTCTTATTTGAAAGATATTTTGTCTCTCCAGGCCTGGATCCTGCCAGCAAAAGATATTTGCACACTTCGTCTAAAGAGCGCCTCGACAAAAGCGATGCTCTCTATGTCGACATCATGCACACCAACAGCTGCAACAACTGGAACAAGTGGTATGTGAGTATCATGCCTTATTTTGGTCGCCGTATTGCACACCAACAGCTGGAACAACTGGAACAAGTGGTATGTGAGTATCATGCCTTATTTTGGTCGCCGCACAGCACACCAACAACTGGAACAGGTGGTATGTGAGTATCATGCCTTAATTTGGTCGCAGCACTGCACACCATCAGCTGCAACTACAGACATAAATGGCAGTTGTAGTGGCGTCAATTACAACTTCCATAACTAACCACTACTATTTACCATCCGTTCCTTTCTATCCCGTTCCTATTAACATGGAATGAATTTTATTCATACTCTGAGTCTACCTCAAAAGCAGTAGGATTATTGGCTTCCATCTGAGATCAGGTCGCTGTTTGAACTATTATGTGTTAGGATCACTTGTTTGCTTGAATCGCAAATTGACCAGGAATTTAAAAGAAAAGAAAATAGCCAAAAAGTTGATCAATTATAAGGGAAAACTTTTCGGAGAGTTCGAAACCTAGAACTCAGGTAACCTGAAATCCACGTTCAAACAATTCAGCGCGAGTTCAAACAACGAGCGCGAATCTCTTGAACAAGCTGTGTTGCCGGTCCGGCTGGGAGGTCTGGGTATCCGTATGTCAAAGGACATCGCGCTCCCTGCGTTCATATCGTCACTCCACTCCGTCCGTGGCCTAGTTGATGCTGTTTTACATAATGTACGACTGGCCGGGGACGACAGTTTGCGGATGGTGTCCGGCGAACGTAGAGAGACTCTATGGTTGGAGCAAAGGTTGGGTTTGGCCGTGCAGAGAGGCAATGCAGCTAGCATCCTAACAGCAGTCAGAGAAAAGTTTGACGTGGGCCCGCTCCTCGCTCGCGTCACAGCTCAGTGACCCTCGGAGTCGGTGTAGGCCACCATCAGAGGCGTTAAGGTCGGGGCCCTGATCATTGACATGAAACCATACCCTGTTTTTAATTAATGAAACCAATTCCTTTTTTTGTTGGAATGGTGAGTGTGGGAGGCCTTTAAAAAAAAACAAAATACACAATTCACGTAAACTTGACATAAGAAGAGAATAAATCAAATATAAATGAGATAACATGAGAAGAAGGTACTATCTATTTACAATTTGTGGAAGATAGAAACTGCAAGCATTCAAACCGGGCTTCCATTGAAAAATACACAATGTTTCTAAATTCCCAGGTCTGAAACACCGGTTGTGAAGGCTAAAACCCTAAAATAATCACTATTGGACACCGGGACGTTGCACTGCTCGGCATGAATACGTACAGCTGAATGAGGGGGATGCGCAAGTATGTTCCCTGTTCTGTAACTCCTGCCTCTAGGCTCTGCAAGCCTAGTATAAAAATTGCGTGATGTCATACCGACATACGCAGATGAGTACTGCGCCCAACTATATTGATAAACTAGGAATGATCGCATAAGAACAGAGAATGGATCCTTTTAGCTGAAAAACCAGCTAATTTTAAAATTGTTTACTAGCATTACATGAAGCTTACATTCGGGAGGTTTTTAGAGAATATATCTTTCAGTTCCTTTGCCATAGTCTCAGATGCGGGGCCAAAGAAAGGGAAAAAACAATAAAAACCATTCCTATCGTCACGTTCGGGAACAACCTCAGCATATTGCTTAGACAAGAATTTCTTAATTTTAGTATACACCAATTGTGATGAAAACCCATTTAGTGAAAAGATACTGCCCAATTGTTCAAATTGAGTGTGCATAGCATGGAAAGTAGAGCAAATTCGGAAGCCGCGGTTTTATAACGTTTGAATCCCATTTAATTTGAAACGAAAGGAAAAAAAGCTAAAAAAATCTGGTCCTTAAGCCAGTAAACGTCTATTTTCGGTAAACAGATGTCTGGAAACGGCATAAGATTTTATGACCTTGCAATAAAGAAAAAATAAACTATTGTTCGATTCAAGTTCCCTAGTAAATTTGATGGGTTTTTGTTGGAGATTAAGATGAAAAAAAAAATTCCCGCATGAGAGAGATGTTTGAAAATTGAAAATGTATCATCTGCATATCGGTTATAGAAAATTGGCTTGAAATCAATAGGACAGTTGGCCAGCCATGTAGCCTCGTGAAAACACATTAATATATTGGCAAAGATAGGACCGAGAGGTAGACACATGCCGAAACCGTCAATTTATCTATAAAACGTGCCAGCAAATACAAAAACGGAGTTCAAAACTGTTAATTAAAGTAGAGGTTTTAAAAAGTTGCGGTTCAAACCTATGACAAGTTCATTGACACCTTAGAACCAATAATGGAGACAAAAATATTCTTCAATTATCGCAATCTTCAAAAGAAATCCATTAAATTTACTAGGGAGCTTGAATCCAACAATAATTTATCTATTCTTGATCGCAAAGTCATAAAATCTGATTGCCGTTTCCAGACATCTGTTTACAGAAAATTTACGTTTACTGGCTTAAGCACCAGCATTTTTAGCTTTTGTCCCTTTCGTTTCGAATTGAATGAGATTCAAACATTATTAAGCCGCGGCTTCCGAATTTGCTCTACTTTCCATCTATGCTAACTGAATTTTAACATTTGCGCAGTATCTTTTCACTAAATGGGTTTCCATCACAATGGGTGTATACTCAAATAAGGAAATTCTTTTCTAAACAAAATGCTGAGGTTGTTCCCGAGCGTGACGATGGGAATGGTGTTAATTGTTCTTTTCCTTACTTTGGTCCCGCATCTGAGACTATACCAAAGGAATTGAAAGATCTATGCTCTAAATACATCCCGAATGTAAATCTTCATGTATCACTAGTGAACAATTTTAAAATTAGCTCGTTTTTCAGATAAAAGGATCCACTCCCGGTTTTTATGCGAACATCCCTAGATTATCAATATAGTTGTGCGCAATACGCATCTGCGTATACCGGCATGACATCACGCAATTTTTATACTAGGCTTGCAGAGCATAGAGGCAGGAGTTACAGAACAGGGAACATACTTGCGCATCCCCCTCATTCAGCTGTACGTATTCATGCCGAACAGTGCAACGTCTCGGTGTCCAGAAGCGAAGTTCTAGCCTCCAAAACCGGTGTTTCTGACCTACGAATTTTAGAATCATTGTATAATTTTAAATGGAAGCCCAGTTTGAATGACATTCACAGTCTCTATTCTCTACACATTGTAAATAGATAGTACCTTGTGCTCATGTTATCTCATTTATATACGTTTTATTTTCGATTTCGGTTCTAATATGCTCAAGTTTAGGTGAATTGTTTGCATATTAATTTTAGTTTACTAATTATTTATACCTGTGATCTAAGTTTTTAACTGACAATGGAGCTGGACTCCGAAACGTTTTCTCTAATAAGAAATGGTGAACTTTTTGGTTATTTTATTTGCTATTAAATACCTGGTTGAACTATTATGTGTGGACTTGGTCGTCGACCAGTTATTTATTAACACCTGTTATGCTGGGCATTCATTTTATTCTCATTTGTTTTGCTAGGACTGCTTTGGTATTTACATGAGCATCGGCCACACGGACTTCTGGCCTAACGGGGGCTTCTTCCAGCCGGTGTGCAGTAAGACGGAGAGCCACCACGCTGGAGACGGTGGGCCGCTCTTTATATTTCTTCATAGTTCTGTCTTATTGTTTCAATACGTCAATTCTATTCATTAATCTCTTTTTAGGTATGTTTTGATGAGAATGGAGTGTTTCGTCAAATGGCGCACGAAGGCCATTTTAGGGCTAAATTAAAGCTTGTACGTGAGATCTGAACCTAAGAAAGTCGTTTTGAATAAACTCTCTGAATATGTGAACGCGGTGGTTGAAATGGAAGGATGAGATGCAGAGATTTAACTCAGTGCATCATTCAGATGTCATCACTGCGTTCATTCATTTAAACACGTCTTCCCAACCACTCTTGCCCCCCACCCGCCACAGGCTCGCTGAGGTGCGACCACACGATCGTGACGGAATATTTCATCGAAAGTTTTGATTACGACATCACGAGCACAAAGTTCTTGGCGCGCCCAGCCAAGAACTACCACGCCTACTGCTTCGACCCCGTCATCCACTGCGGCCCCCTGCCTCAGTACATGGGCATCCTCGCCGACAGCGGGTGAGTACTGACACACTTGGTGCACTGCCTGCTTATTTGAGGTACTAGTCTGCCACCCTCTGCTCACCCTGCATCCTCGCTCTGCTCAATTTGCAGTTGTGTTCAGCAAATAAAGTTCTCAGTGTTCACGTTACCGCTGAATTTGTGCAAGCTATTTAGATTAATTTATATTTTCTTTGTGTATGTATCGACTAGAAAAATTAGTTTGAATTCCCAGTTTGTTCGATATGGTTAGTTAGATCAAGCAATATATATTAAACCTTCAAAATTTTTCTATTCGCAGTGAAATTTTTACGCTCTGATCCATCGGTAGGAATTGATTACTGTGTTCCCCATATGTTAATGTTCTTTTAATGGCCTATTAATTTTTGACGCGCTCTTTATCGGTGCACATTTGCTAGCAATTGTTTATGCCTAGTAATCATTTTCACTGCTGGAACCCTAACAAAATTCGAGTACCGTCTAGTCATCTGCCAAGAGTCGTTACACTTGACTTGAATTTATTTTGGGTTTGCCTGGCCTCTTCTGAAACTCCTTTCTGAATTTATAATCGCCTGAGAGTATGAAAAGAGATGGCCGAGCCTAGTCATACCGAGCTTGCAAGCTTTCCAGAGGTTGCTCTGCTAACCCTAAGCAAGGCGGTCATAGAGCGGCTGATTTACGGGCTCCCCGAGTCCTGGGCGACATCTGTTGCGAGGTCAGTCCTGCGTCCAAATTTTGTTAGAGGATGAACTTTTTTCCGAACGTGAACCTCAAAGATGATCTTAGGCTGGTTCACCGAGTTATGTTTAATGTCCTGCATGTTGTCATCGTTATCTTTTTGATGTTAGCTGTATTTGCGTTGTATTAGCATGTTTACGAAGCCTGAGCGAAACAATTCTCGAGATATCACGCTAGAGTAAACATTGTATTGTTGAACACGAAGTTGACGGAAACTGCGTACGTTTACGGTTTTAATTGTAATTTTAGACCAGCATCATTGCGCTGTTCCTTAATGACTTGAATCCAATGCCATACGTTGCTATACCTCCTGTTTTTACTTGGTTAGTAGTAAGATTGGTCGTTATCATCTTTGATATTTTATAATTTAGATCATCACGACCTATTGGGCTGCCGTTTGGTATTATTAACGTGCGAGCCAGCGCTCGTTGGTCCGATTGTTCTGATTAATTATTGTTGGCCGATGGCGCGCATACACCTGACCAGCAATTCTCGGACCATGACTGCCATGATGTTGCCTGCTGCTGTGACTATGAGTCTCTACCATGATGTCACTTGTCGCTATTGCTAGAGCGTCTCTGCTGCCCCTAGTCTCTACCACCATTTCGTCTGCGGCCAATGCTAGGACGTCTCTGCCGCGTCTCGGGCACAATATCGCCTGCCGCTATTACTAGGACGTCTCTGCCTCTCCGAGTCTCTGTCACGATGCCGCCTGCCGCCGTTGCTAGGACGTCTCTGCCGCCCCGAGTCTTTTTCACTATGTCGCCTACCGCCGTTGCTAGGGCGTCTCTGCCGCCCCGAGTCTCGGACATGATGTCGCCTGCCGCCGTTACTAGGACGTCTCTGCCGCCCCGTTCTCGGACATGATGTCGCCTACCGCCGTTACTAGGACGTCTCTGCCGCCCCGAGTCTCGGACATGATGTCGCCTACCACCGTTGCTAGGACGTCTCTGCCGTTCCGAGTTTCTAAGTTCTAGCGTGGGCAGCGCACCGACGGTTCCTGCCTCCGTGCTCTCATGCCGAACCGCTTCCAGGAATCGAAGTGACTTGTCAGCTTGAAACTTTTATGTGACGCTTCATATTTCTTCATGTGAAGATCTCTCGCTTGTTCATCCTTTTGATTTTCGCTTGCTTATATTATGTTTCTCTACTTCCTGCTTCGAATCAGCCTGTTTTTTTTAAAGTTTTTTCCCTGACTGCATGAAATTGTTTTGCTCTTTATTGTCGGCGATGTTATATTTATGTTCAACTTATGTGGTGAACGCATATATTTATAAAGAACTTGTCTCGCGCTCCTCAGCAGCTGGACATAGAAATTTTCAAGGGTCTGACAGTATAAATATATGCAGACAATATCTGTATTTGTGCAAGCTGCACTTGCACTGCGCTCTCCATGTACATATGCGTGTGTCCACGAGTGCAGACCTGCTCATTATTGAGTGCCTTCCGAGCGAGTCAAGGAATCGAAATAAGTCAAGTAAACTCCTCAACTTTCTGTAGTCATGCATGGAAAGCGCCGGGAAAAACGACCCAGCATCTACTGAAAAAAGTCTTTAAGAATGTCTGAAGTCAAAAGCGCATTTTGTATTTTTTTTTGTATCAGAATTGGAAGCTCGTATATATTGCCACATTAAACGACGAATTCGTGAGCAAATTTGAAATTAGAAGTTTTTTCCCAGATTTGTGCTCAAGTAATTTCGCGGATTAGGTTTTAGAGTTAATTTCAAGCTCATTATTTTGTTCGTGAGGCACGCGGATAGTTCAACCGATCATTCTGTGGGTGCAGCGAGTAGCGGTATCGTGATCGTGCTATACCATGTCTAAATAACTACAATCGAAGGGATATTTAAAGCTACTTTTTATGTTAAAAACTAAAATGACTCAAGATACTGAACGTGTGGTGCCTGTTCCGCTCACGAGCTGCATTTTCTTAACGTTATGAATATAAAAATAAAACTAACTGACTTAAATGCTAGAATTTTTTGTGATAGGATGCTGCGGCAGTTGAACAAATGTGTCTATAATTGTTGCAAGCAAAGAAAAGTATTTCCATGATGTTTTTACCCAGCTCCTCCGGGGACTATTACCTGAACACGACTTCGGTGGCTCCATACGCCATTGAGGACAAGTCTTGCCCCAGCCGAGAACGCCACGCTGAGGTCGCCGCGGCTGCCATCGTGGCCATCATCATCACCGTGCTCATCTTGGTCGTGGCCATATCTGCCTTCGTCTGCATTAAAGTCAAGGGGATCTTCAAGAGGAAGGCTGAGGGCGCAGACATGACCGACCCCCTGCTCGGGGACGCGCCCCAGGACCGCGTCGTGGATGGTCAGGAAGAAGGCCGAAGCTCCTCCATTCTGGGCGGCGTCGCTCGCAGCTTCGCCGGCATCGTAAGCAGGCCCGTCGACGTCTGAAGGAAGCGCCCTGGACACTCTGGTATTTGGTCGGAGGTATCCGTGAATAAGATTGTCTTGCCTTTTTTCAGTAATAAATTCACTCGAGAATATTGTACTATGAAGTCCGTCGTGGCATTTATGTGACCTTTTAAAAGCTCAGTGTTACCTTGTGATCTAACTTGGCTGGCCGTGTCTTGTGACTATAGAACTTGGCTGGCCGTGACTTGTGACTGTCAAACTTGACTGGCCGTGTCTTGTGACTGTAGAACTGGGCTGGCCGTGACTTGTGACTGTCGAACTTGTCTGACCGTGACTTGTGACTGTAGAACATGGTTTACCGTGGCTTGAAATTTTCGGACTTTGTCGTACCAATAATACCCTCTTCAAAAGTTGAGGATTTTTTGTTCACTTGTTTTTTTCATTTTAGTGTAATAACCTGCTGATTCGTGAAGTGGACGGTAATTATTAATTCCAAGCACCATCATGAATTATATTATTTAACGTCGCATGGCTGATGTAGTACAGCATTTGTTGGGTGTTGTAACCATCTAATGAAGAGCACTGATGCTCACAACATGTATGCACATTTTTCTGATCAGAAGGATTATTTGATGTGCCATTATACTCCAATTATTGTTAGTATGTCGCCGCTCAGTAAAAATCCTGCAAACTGGCGTATTCAGACAAGTGCTAGCCTTAGTCTCATAAGAAGCCTGGAGAGTTCCAGCTCACAGCGTAACAAATGTTCTCAAAATGTCACACAATTCTCACATCTTGTACTCCGCGTGATTGAGATGCAGTTAATTAAGTTGGTATTAGCATTGTACTCGAGGCAAGTGAAACCTTAAGAATTGTTCTTAACTTCGATGTCCTTGTCTCCCCGTCATTAAAGAAACTGTCTTACGCGCGGTGCTTCGACCCCCACTGCTGAGCTGGTACTGGACGGCGCGTATTGTAGAAAATTAACATGCCTCCCGAACAATGTGGTTAAAGATTATTAATATAATGATTGAATTGTCTGCAGAGTCCGTTTCTTTGGTTCCTGAATATATGTTACTTAATTGTAATGTCGCTGCTATTTCTTGTCAGCTTCTACGTGCTGGTCATTAAAGACTTTGATGAATGCGGGTGATGACCTTTGACCTTGCGGGTGATGAATTTGATTTTGCTTAATTAATGATGATTGATGAGACCTTTAATGCTGTTGGTGATGTTGATGTGAGGACTTGTGGTGCAAGACACCTGCGTGGCTAGTGTGCTTGTGGGCCTCTAACTAGTTTTTTATTTGATTTGCTGGTAATTAGACAATTGAGAAGACCATGTATGACTGTCAACGAATTGGTATGTCGCCATATGAGCGTGTATGTTTCTGTAGGTCTGTTCTATATCAAAGGATTTGTAGGATTTATCTTAATTGGCATTCCATTTATTCGTACAAAATTACTCTAAGTTAAATTGAATATTTTTCTGTGACCGTATTGAGCTCTGTGGTAGTTTTAATTTGTTATATATAAGCATAATCAACATTGTTCTATTATGAAAGGAATTTATGTGGCTATTTTCTAATTCCTCATATTGAGTTACGCTTTGTATTATCTTTGATATATCTGCACCGCTTCTTGAAAACTTCAAACTGATTTTTGTTTATGATGCACGCTTCGTACACTCGTACCTGTATTGCATTTGAACGTTATTTGCTTCTATCATATCGATATTCATTATACTGACCGCTCATGTCTCCGACGCACATCGTTGCTACGGCCTTCTTGCCGGTGTCGGAGTTTTCCGTTCAAGATAATTAGTTAAATTATTATAAAGCTGTCATGGAATTTGTGATGATCAAGTTAGTGTTGGGATATCTCGCGATATATTAGGATAATTCGGAGCTTGAATTGTTACTTTACTGTTCTTAATTGTTCTATTGATTCCTCTTGGAAGGTTATCTATAAATAAGTTGAGATATTATATATTATATGAAGGAGCTCGCCTGAAGACGATTATAGTGCTGTTTTGGGCGTCGCTTGCCATCAATAATTATTATTTAATTGCAGGTGTTTAATAGGCTACTCTTAAATACCGGCCTTATGACGTTATGGTGATAGTCGAGTGGAATTACTTCATTAGTTTTGTATAAATAGTTCATCCTCTCGCCAATGTTATACGTCGATTGGTAAAAGTTCATTTATATGCGTAGGTATATAATACCCTGGCTTATGATGCATGTTTATGCTGCGGAAAGAGTACATTAAAGGTCCTGCTTCTTCGGCACGTATTGTTTTCCTACCAAAAATATTCGTTACGAGAGATTGGGTGCCGCCTGAGTGCCCTGAGCCTCTAAATAAACACATGAATCTTTAGGTTTGCGATTCATCAGGATTTAGAACTCATCGCACAGGTTTTGTTCCAATGGATTTTTCTAAGTTTGAAAGAACCTTTTGCGTAGATCTTAGTCTTCTGTCTGTCGCTTCACCTGCCATTAGAGGGTTTAGAGTATCTTCTTATCATTTAGTCCCAGGAACACTTCATGTCAACTCTAATGACGCAAATTCTTGGTGTTTTATTGAGCATTTCTCATAGATAAGGGGATCGCCAATATTCTCTTTCAAGATTATTTAGACAAAACATCACCTGGAAAACTTTCGAGCCGTTGCACTGACCTGGTCCAGCCACATCACAATATTGGCATAGGAACTCCATAATTACTAGGAAAGTTTATTGTAGAGATAAGAGAGATGAGAGAAATGAGGCGGTAATCCGTTGCATCGTGAGGCCATTCGATTATTAATGAGTCGTCAATCTGTTGCATCGTGAGGCCATTTGGTTCTTCTTGAGGCGTCAATCCGTTGCATCGTGAGGCCATTCGGAAACATACCTCATCTCGATACGACTCTGATCGCCTTGCCTCTCGTGCCAGTTTATAGACAGAAGTTCTCACTGACTGACCGGTTTAACGGATCATAAACTAGACAGAAGTTCTCACTGACTGACTGGTTTAACGGATCATAAACTAGACGGAAGTTCCCACGGACTGACTGGTTTAATGGATCATAAACTAGACAGAAGTTCTCACTGACTGACTGGTTTAACGGATCATAAACGAAACTGCGCGACCCAGTATAACTAATACTGGGGATCATTGAGCCTTGCAGGGTTATTCACCCTACCTAATACTCCTACAAGTCTTCACTCTATCTCTATTTTCCTACTAGTAAGCTAAAAATGATCGAACTCAGAATACTAAGGGGCAAGTAGTAACGTTACACGGGCGTCGTGGAGGCGGGCGCATCATAAACCTTGAATTTGAAACCGCTTCTATTCCGACAATATGGTCGTACCTGCTTTACTTCATCATTGTGGTATTGTTGCAGTATTGCACTATCTAATGCTAGTCGAGTTACTGTAAATTGGTATAACTGATCAGAAGATATAAGCAAATGCAGCCACTGCAAGAATTATAGCAACAAAACAAACTCCCAGTCAGTGACTACTTATACGTACCTTTCTCCAATTGAACCTTCAAGTACTTCTACTTATTCAATCGACTTTTTATGTTGAAATTAAGACAAAAGATAACCAAACATCATGGGAATAATAATTCTGCGAGATCTGGTAATTATTCTGCGCTACCAGAGAGTGGATTGGGTGTTGCCCGAGCATAGTTTGCGTGAGCTGTTAGCTAACAATTAAGATTCTTCCTGGACTCGTCCCGAACAAAATTGGCAAACCATGTTCTGGAACAGTTTCGGCTGCTTCGCCACTGGCGGTGAAACTTACGAATCTTCTAAGGCATTCAGTATTTGTTGTGCGTTCAGTGCAAGTGGCATATACAGTGGGGGAAATAAATATTCGTACACTTGAAAAATCGTATTTTAATGTATGTAAGTACACAAACTTAACAGGAAAAGTGATTTAAATTTATGAGGCATTAATCCGTTGCATCGTGAGGCCATTTGGTTCTTAATGAGGCATTAATCCGTTGCATCGTGAGGCCATTTGGTTCTTAATGAGGCGTTAATCCGTTGATTAACGCCTCATTATTATTAACGTTGATTAACGCCTCATTATTGTTAACGTTGATTAACGCCTCATTATTAACGTTGATATTTGATGTGCGTTCAGTGCAAGCGGCATATATGGAGAGAACTATAACCAAATCCACACCATGCGGGCACGCGCCAGTCATGGTCCAGTCTGATATTCTTTAGTAGTGCATTTCCTATTCCTGACATGGCAGCTGCCTTGCACGGCTGGTGTGAATGCTTCTATATAAATGCATTAAAAAAGAATATATGACTGTACCGTGTCTGACACATGCTAAGCAATATGATGTGAACCATGCTGATTTGACGGATATTCTTCGTTAAAATTTTAAGATTACACTTTAGTGATTTGCTTGCTAAAAAATTACACCTGCCGCTGAAAATTGCGTTTAGAGTTCACTGAAATTCAAAGTTTCAGCACAAATTTTTCGATAATCCTGGTGTAAAACTTAGGACTTGTCGAATGTTTGAGAACAATTTCTCAAGAAACAATTAGAGGCGGCTCCAAACTTGTGCAAACGTTCAAATGCAATTAAAGAGTCTGCAAAGATGTGTGTGCGTTCGACAACAATGCTTGACAAGAGTAACTGGCGTAAAGAGAAGCTTCCACTTTTAGTACGACTCGGGTTTCGAGTTCAGCTCATAAATTGATGAGATAAACTCGAGACGTGTCATGAAACTTTTTGAAAGTTGCACGTATAGTCGATCTCGTCATAAAATGACGAGGGTCAGGGTGGCCTAGTGGTTTGGAGTGCCAATGCTGCGGGTTCGATCCAAGCTCTGTGCGCCAATTTCTGGTGAGAATCGACGAGGAGGCCGGACGGTTAAGCAAAGAATTGGAGCAGTGAGTTGCGTGTTCGAGACCCGCAGCGAGCTGTGAATGTTCTGCGATGTTAGGGATCGGCGGTAGGCCCACGGCCTAATAAACGCTGCAACTACTATATACATATTAATGCATGATTTCGTTAAAGCAGCACCAGGTAGGAATAGAGAAAAATCTCATTTATAATAGTTATTGTCATTACAAGAAGCGCCAGATCGCGGGTTGAAGTAAATAACGGAGAGTGGTTTCGTTCACGCGCAGCGCCATACCAGGCGACTACTTCCTCACGACGCGCAACGAGGCGCCCTTCGCTCTCGAGGACTGGCGGTGCCCCACGGCCTCCAGGATCCGTCTGCTGCAGACGAGCCACGTGTTTGCTTGGACGATATTTGTGGCGCTCGCTGCGGGCGTCGTGCTCCCGATGATTGTCTTGGGTGTCATGTACACCTTTTCTAAAAAAGCTATTGATGGCATCAAGAAAAATATGTACCTTCGCTTCGACCAAGAAAGAGATTATACTGACCACTTGAACGGTGTCGACCGTCTTGGACCTCCAACTTTACGCGTCGATATGCGTAGTCCATTAACTCGCTTTTTGGAAGACCGGCCTGATACGCCCTACTCCATTCCTGAGAGCACCGACGAGTACGAATCGGCTTCTGACATGAGCTCTGCAAGAACCACATCTGAGAACCGTGGGAGGTCAGCCCAAGTTGGTCCATCCAAAACCATGACACCTCTCGAACGCAGGGTGAAAAATAGGGATGAGCGTCTCGAGAATCAGAATGATCGCGTTCTAGAGTTGGATCTTCTTGGTAGCGAGAGCGTTGTTTCCGACGGTTCTGCTTTGTTCTGCGGGGCAAAGCTTGTTCTCAACGATAGAGCTTCTGTGGCTGACTCTGATGACCTCTGGCGCGAACTGGAACAGCGGTGATGGGTTTAAATGAGATAAATTAATTATTTAAGTCAAAATTAAATATTGCATTCTCAACCAAATTTTAGGGTTGTAGGTCCTGTAAAACCCTCGTCCCTTTACTTTTAATTTTGATGATTTGTTAAATAATTAATTTAATTAAATAATTAATTAATTAAAGTTTTATTTCAAAGGTGTATCGGTTATCACTCCCTTGAGGAAGTGCCGCCTCCAAGCAAAGCAGATTCGGGCCACTTGCCTGGGTAGTAAAGTCCATCCCTAGCCTTGTATTTCGAGCAACCATATTAGTTTCATGGCCATTTTTTATAAAATACAATTATTCGCTGAATGTATGTAACAGGTTGATCGTTCTAAAATGATGCCTTTTTGATAATTAAATATTTGTATATTGAGTAATAATTGCACCTTAAATGCAGGAGTCGCGATACTCTCACTGAGCCTGACGCTTGGCTCTTTAACTTAATTTTGATGCGCTCTTGTACTAATACATTAGTTTGTCAAATATTATTTTGTTAATAATGTTCATGTAACTTTCCGACGTACGAATCGGCAAAACTAAAATAAATAAGGAAAAATAAACTTTCTTCAGTTCAAGACTGCGCCTCTGCTGAGGTCGTCGAGCAGAGATCAGGATTCGACGGTGATAATCGTGTTTTCGCTCGTCTATAGTCTCTGATTTAATAGTTTTTGAAATCAGTAAAGTTAGGCCATTCAAAATCCGTTATATTAGTAAAATATATTTTGTCTGAAAAAAATGTTAATTTTTTAATGTGAATTTAAAATTAAGATCATCGGCGCTGTGAAATCGTTTACAATGGAAATGAATGTTTCAATTCTGGTGCAGGATACGAAGCCACAGGAGCCTGTAGTGACTCGAATTTATATCTCGCAATAATGTTCCCCTTGAATGTCACAATTAATTTTATTAAACTTCCAAACTCGTGATTATCGACCTCTGTAACAATATCTTACCTAATTATCTTGATCTCGATTGCTTATTTTGGATTTCATCAATTTCATCATTAAACCATTATAAAAATATCCAGTCAGTTAATCATCAATTTTTGAGCACGAATAACACTCGTGTAATTCCTGAATGATGAAAAAATTTAGTAAATATTAACATATTATTATATTTAAATCGTACCAGCAAATATTGTGAATTTTGTTAAGAACGCCAGTGGAGAACCATTTGCCAATCGCGTATTAGTCATTTTTCTGAACGAAGTCGTGGGGTGTGAATATCTGCTAAGGGGGTAAGACGCTAAGTTCTTCACTACAATTAAATTCTTTTAATGCAATAAACATTTCAGTGTAACTGTCATAATTGAATCATTTGTATTTTTTGTATTCTTTGATATTGTTATTCCATTGCGTTCATGCCATGTCGATTCTCACGACCATCACTGATACAGGTGTTGATCGGCGGATTCTTTCTTCAGCCCGACTTTCTTCAATAAATAGCG